TTATCAGCAATGGATATTATGAATTCATAAACAAAATGAAGGCTGTCAAAGCTTTCATTAATATTATGCTCACGAGGAACTTTTTTGTAAGCAATATTAATGAGTTGGATCGGACTGAGTGAACGGGTTTGCACCTGTTGAATTTAAAATGTATGTTTGATAGCGGAGGTTTAATAAATGCCCCCCTCTCTCCACCCACTCCCCACTTCTCTCCATTCATTTAATATTAAGTGATTCGATTTGCTGCTCCCTTTGAACATTTATAACTCAATAGTTTACATGTTTCTTCATTCTAGGCATTTTCGAATCAAATTTGAAATGTTCTTGAGTGTCCTTACTACGTGGTGTAATATCTTCTGTTTCATTCTCTTGAACAAATTTCATATTCAATTTAGCATCAGTGCTAGTGCTTCCTTTGACTAAATAACTTTTTTGGCTTGCCGTATCATAAAAAATTAAGCCTTTCGATGCAAGATGAACTGAAATAATAAGTTCCATGGAGTGTGGGAATTAAACCATTGAAGGATAAATTCTGAAATTCCCTCGAGTTAAACTTAGTAAAAACCAAACCTGAATTATTGTTTACTCTCTCTCTTGAGAGAGTAATAAATTGGGGTATTGAAGTGATAATGAAAGGTTTATTATCAGTAATTTTATACTATTAATAAGGTAAGTATTCGAAAAAATACCCTTGTTGATGTTATTCGTAATTAGGGCAGGGTGTTCGGACTGGACCTAGCTTGTCTTCGGAATCCATTTTATCGGAACGGACCGGTCTAGCATTTTTCGAGCAAAATTAGACCATATTTGTAATTGATCACTTATTGAGTTACATATTTTTTGTAATTAATAATAAGGAAACATTTAAATGCAATTCTCCATAATATAAGCTAGTGATCGGACCGATACGATTTTTTCGATATTTTCGATAACAAAAATGTCGACGAGTTCTTCGGCCGATCTCTAATATAAGCTACGATAAAATTTATTAACAAATAACTTACGGCTAAATTTCTCCTTTTTCATATTGAAAAACTTTACCACGATTACATGACCACCATATATAGGTTCAAAGATGGGTCTATTTGATTTTTTTCCTTGAACCTTCCAACAAGAATAACCAGAATTTGTATCTTCCATTTCAAAAATCTTTCTGACGAGCGTTTTAATATCAATTGAATTCCCTTTCTCAACTCCAGGTATACCACTATTTTTTAAAACTTTGACTTGTCCATTCCCAATATCTACAAATAATGTAATTATTCCGTTACTAATTTTCTATTTATAGAATAACATACATTCCACTTTTATACGTCCCATCACATTAAGAATGTCCTCTATATTAAGGACTGAACCCTTTTTAAAATCAACTGATCTTTCTTTATGATCCTTCAGAACAAGAACAGAACCTCCATCAACTAAATTAAAGTTAAATATTGTTAAGCATGTAGCTATTTTTCCTAAGGCTGCGCAGTAGGCGGCGTGGTGAGTAACTAAAATCTACAGAATAAGTGGTTCGCGCCGACCAGCCGATTAATCCTTTGCACATCTGTAAGAGGCGGTAAAGCGAAAGCCTTAAATAGATAAAATTTTATAAATTACATCGTCTTGTTAATATTTCAATATCATATTGCATTTTCCCATTCTGATCAAACGAAAACTCTCCAACGTTCTCCTCTTGTAAAGCTTCCTTGCCATTTCGTCCTGAACATCTATGATTTCGTTCCCCTCTAGTTCCAATTGCATACTCAATGCAAATCAGTGAAAAAATCAGAAAGAGAAACATTTTTTTCTTAACGTTTAAGAAAATCATCTGAAAATCTTAAATTTTATCAACTCGTGAAAAATAAATTTAACGAAGAGTATTATTTTAAATGCTTATAAAGTTAAAAGAATTTAAAAAATTTAAAAAATTTAAAAGTGATTATTACTGGGGATTCCACAGAATATGTATATGTATGCACACACAGTCGTGGCGAGCATACATGTCTATTGAGGCGGAGGATGCCCTGACATGTGCGTGATTCTGTATATTTCTCTAATTATTTTTTACATACGAAATTGTCAAGAGCTTTTACAGATATGAGAGATTTTACGAGTTACATATATTCAAATTTAATCGCTCACAAAACACAATTTTTGGCAGCGTATAAATTTGACGACGGCAAACACTCAGGCCATTAATTCTATTGACATGTCGAGAGACTCGTGATTCTTTTGACTGTCACTTGATAAGAAGACAGCTTTAATGCCTAGCATTCTCATGTCTAAAGCAGTCTGATTGGCGAGACCCATTTTGGCTCGGGCCGTTTCAGCGTCACAGTGAAAATTTAAATATAGGCTGTTGTCGGAACTTCTTTTATTTTTTGATTTTCTCAATGTTATAGTTGGAAATGAGATTATTATCAGAAATTATCAAATCCTAGTCGGATAAACATATATCGAGCCCTTGGTAATTTTTCGGTTCGTATTCCCCCTCCTTTTTTCTGACCATTTCTTCATTTTTCCTTCCCTTTCTCACTTATTTTTCATGAGGCAAGTATCAAAAAGGATTTATGGGAATTATTTATTTGTTTTTTTCAAAGGATAGAAAAGAGAAACATGGTACCAAAAATTATAAAAAGCTGAGAAATATCACCAAATCGTTTTCGCCACAGAAACTCATGCAAATATTTCGGTACGGTAAGATATGTTGGTATTGTTACCTGCATTTTTACCATCAAGAAGTCCAAGCTCTCGAGCCAAGCATCGAAATCGTTGTCGCTTAATCTCATTTTGTCACACAAATCAATCATGTTAAAATTTTTTAGTAGCTTCATATTGGTTATTGAATAATGTACATGAACTTTTTTAGAACTTTTTTCATGTGTTCAAAAAAATTGTAAAATTTCAAAAAAGTAATGTATACATTAATAATCCTTTTTGATACTCGCCTCGTGAAATAGAAGGGAGAAAGGGAAGGAAAAATGAAAAAATGGTCAGAAAAAAGGAGGGGGAATACGAACCGAAGAATTACCGAGCCCTTTTTGTCTCAGTCGTTTCTACACCTTTCTCCAATGGAGGATTGGCTTATTTCAATAGTTTCTGAGCATCTTATGCACGTGTGTCTATGGGTATAGGCACTGGAATGCGAATTTTTTCTAGTGGATCGCCGCTTGTCAATGGACTGAAATTTATATATAATTTTGAGGAGATTTAGGCAGTAGTTTGAACTTAAAATTTTTTAAATCTCTCATGAGATATCTCCCATTATTAAAAAATATTTTTCATTTAAGTTGCTGTTAACGTAATTTTTTTTCAAATTTATAAACATAAATGATTTTATATTTTTATCTTTTCGAATTTTAAAGTTTTAACGAAATTTGATCAAATTTCAAAAATAATCAAAAAAATTTTTTGACAGATTTATGCATTGAAAATAAAAAGATAACCAAATAAATAAAAAAATAATGCCGAAATATAAAATAATGCCGAAATAGCTTCAACAGTATCGGGATTCTTACATAAAATCAGTACTGGTATTTTGGAATGATAAAACAAAACTTCTGGCCGAAACCGGGATTTGTGTTAATTAATACGAGAAATTACGAGTAGTCATTGAGAGTGGCTCGAAAAATAGCTCGAATACGGTGTTATAAAAGCAGAAAATTTAAAAGAGAAAAGTGTATGTGTGTAATAGGGATTCACAAAGTGTTTCTGTTTTTAAAAAATTAATTTTGGCATCTAAAAATTAGAAAGAAAGTTTGAAATTTAAAGGAGATAGGTTTGTTGTTTATCAGCAAATCTAACTAATATTTTGCTGTTTCTTGTAGTCAGTCAAATAAACCTTCAAATAAGTCACTTCCAGACTATGAAGTGACTTTTGCTTGTAACACTCCTCATTGCTAAAATTTAAATAACATTAAGACAGTTTAATCTAGATAGAACAAACTCTAAGGAGCCACTAAAAGTTAACTATATCTAAATGTCTGTTAAATCGAGAGCAATCGAGAGTCATTTCTAAGGGACTTGATCAACCCAGAAGGTCTTCTAAAAATGCACCTAATGTCTAAAAATTCTCTCCCCTTGTATCCTAAACAACTGGGAATGGCCCAAACGCTTTAGCGCATAGTTATTAATAGGAAGGATTTATTACTGTAATCTGATAAAGAATCCATTTAAGACGCTCAGAACTTACATCGCCATCAAATAGAGGTTCAAATATTGGATTGGTGTTGGTTGAAGGTTTTCCTTTAATCATCCATTTAGTGACCCCAAACTTTTCAATTTCCCAATCAGCAATCAGTCCGACCAGCTCTTGCATAACCATTATACGCCCTGGCTTAATTTTTGGTCCATCTTCAAAGTTTCCGAGGATATGAACTTTTCCATTCTTAAAATCTAAAAACAATGGGAAATATTAAATTACTAATATCTTCATTTTTCAAGAAACATACTAGCATCCACACTTAATATCTTCAATTTCTCGAGGATCTTCTCAATATTAACGACTGAATCTTTTTTATAACCATTCGCATCTTGCAGAACACGAACAGAACGTCCATAAGCTAAATTTAAATATTTTGTGAGGATAAAGGGAGATCCAGCTGTAAATAGGAGGTGAAAGCGTAGTACCTTGCTAGAATATTAATAACTTATAGAAAACGTTTAAAATTTTTGATTTTATGTTTAGTTATAGATAACACTCCATTCTATATTATGGCAAAAAAATATAATTTTTAACTCCATTTTAAAAAAGCTATCATTTTTTCTCAAAATAGGGAGAAATGAGAAAAACGGCACCGCCAAAACTGATGCGTAGTGTCAACCACACTACGCACCGTAGTGTCACCATGGACCATGTCTTATGATACGGGACCTGACTGTGAAGCGCAGCTAGGTATAAACTGCTAGAAGGTCGAGGATCGTTGACTGTCTGTTTCTAAATTTTTACAAGCTCTTACTTAAATTAGATGTCTATTAACCTTTTAAAAGTATTTTTATTTTAAATTGGTCGAAGATTAAGCTAAATATCTATAATTACGTAGTATCTCATCCATTACAAGCTCGCATTCTGTTGCATCAGTTGGATCACTTGGGAGCTTTCCACCTCCAGAACCTCCTGCACCTTTATCTCCAAGATGCTTTTCCGTTCCTTTAGAACTTCCTGCACCTCCAGCTTTAGATCGCTTTTTGTCTCCTCCAGGATTTTCTGCTTTCTCAGCTTCACGGCGCCTTCCTCTTCGAGAGCCTCCTGCCCCTCGCATTCCAATTGCATATTCAATGCAAATCAAAGAAAAAAACAAAAAGAAAATCAATCCTTTTTTAGAGTTTAAGGAAATCATCTGGAAAATTTGGAAATATTATAAGTGTTGGGTAAATCAGGAATTTAAAAAATAAAAATTATTTAAACTGGGTGTTGCATGGGATTCAACGCTTATTTAACGGACCCGTAGCCTTGCCAAACATATCCATCGAGTCGGAGCATGCCCTGACATGTGCGTTAGTCTGTAAATTTCTCTAACAACATTATATACTATCTTAAACAACAAGTCCCTAATTAAAACATGCTCAAGGCCTTCAAACATACATATACATAAGATTTTATTTTGGCAGTCAAATTCGGCAAGGAAAGGCAATTGCTATCATTAAAAAGCAAGACGACTGAATGTTTGCCTAGCAATAGCTAGAATAAATTTTTGTCAATAGTTGAGCGAGTGCGGTAGCAAGACACTAGGCAAGGAAGGCGTCGACTGTCGCTGCGATTATTGACAATTCATGTCTATAAAGCGCCGCTCTCTTTGCTAGAGAAGTATTAGGCAAGCGGCTCTCTCCCTCTCTAGCAAGCGTCCCTCTCAAGCGGCCCCCTCCCTCTCTCAAGCGGCCCTCTCTCGGCCCTACCCTCTCCCCCCTCTCTAGCGATTTCTTTTCTTGACAATTGTTGAGCGTATGCGTTTTAAATGCCAAAGCAGGGAGGGCATCGACTGTCGCTCTTCCGATTATTGACAATTCATATTTATAAAGCGGCGCTCTCTTTGCTAGGGAAGCATTAGCAAGCGGCCCTCTCGATTCTAGCTTCTCTAGGCGATTTCTTAATTAAATGCCTCGCAAAATCATGTGTAGGGTCTCGAGATAGCTATAAAGACTCAATCAATTAAATAAAGAAATTTAATTTTAAGTTGCCCTTTTTATATATTAAAACAAAATTTAACTCTAAAAAACATAAAACATTATAGAAAATATGGCCTAACGTTTGTTATTATAAGATAATGGATAGGACATGATTATAGGAATAGGACGACAGTAGGACATGTAGGACATGATTATCATTCAAAGGAAAAAGAGAGAGTGTATCATTTTATTAGAGAATGTCGTTATATAGAATAAATACGGTATCTCCTGTATATGTGAATATGTGTCCAATTTCTTCTAGTGGACGCTTGCTAATGGCTTGAAAATTGTGTGACAATTTTGAGGGTTTTTGGGCAGTAGATTGCTAACCATATAATTTTGTCGCGAAATGCGACTTTGTATTTTATTATTTGACCCTTTTGTCCGCTGTCTTTTTTGTTAGAAATATTTTTATTTTTAAAATTTTGTTTTAATCATGCGTAATAATAAATACGCCTACTTCTTTCAAATTCTTTCCCATTATTCATTGCACTTTGTAAATTCTTTCTATTTTTAAGTTAAAACCTCTCCCATTTTTTCCTCGATTTAAACGTTAGGATTTTAGTGTATAATCAGAGTTTTATAGATTCTCTCTGAGTTAAGAGTTCTCTTTGTGTAAAAATTTCTCTAAAGAGCTTTTCTAATTGTAATAGATTTTATTTGAATAAAAGTTGTTAACTTTTATTTAAAATAAAGAATTGAACTTAGAATTTAAAGAGTTTGATTTAAGTCTTCTAAGTTTCGAGATTTTTGACTAAAAGTTAATTGTGTTTCTCTTTTAGTTAAATTTGAGTTTTCTAGAGATTTCTAGATTTAATTTATAAAGTTTAAATTGTATAAAGAGATTTAAATAAAGTATATTACCTATTTGTTAACCTTTTTAAATAGAGTTAAGATTTAACTTCTTGATTCTTTTAAAATATTGTGTAATATTTTAATTGTTGAATAAAATTTTATTTAAAAAAAATTGATTCTGATAGAAAAGATAAGAGTAAAAAGGATAAAAATAGAAAATATTGTTTATTCATTGGAATAAACTAAAGAAAACTTAAATAAATAAATTTAAAGAAACTATTAAAATTTATTTATTTTTTACATTGTCCAGCAAAAACATTTAAAATTTAAAATTTATTTGCTTTTGCGACAAATTTTTTAAATCACTCGTGAGAGAATATTAAGTTTACCTTGTTAAAATTTTTAAAAACTATTAAAAAAATATTTTCATATAAATTTATATCTGAAAATTGCTGTTAACTAAATTTTTTTCAAATTTATGTACATAAAATGACTTCTTAAATCTAATCGAATTTTAAAGTTTAATTGTGAAAATAAACAAAATTTTTTGACAGATTTATGCATTGAAAATAAAACAGATAACCGAATAAATAAAAAATAGATGATGAGGAACCAGTTTATCGGGGTAAACAAGGTTTACCTCTATTTGGCCAGAATAGGGGGTAAACTAAATGTGATATAAATTTGCCATAAAAACTGCAGTAAAAGTAAAGGAAAATTCTCGAACGGGGTCGGGTACCAATGTTTTTGTTCCTCAAAAAATAAATTTCGCTTTAAAATAGAGAAAGGAAATTTGAAATTCAAAGCTGACAGTTGAAAGTTTGCTTTTTTTTTGTTTTTTCAAATCTAACTAGTAGATTCGATGTTTCTTGCATTCGGTCAAATCAATCTTCAAATCATTCAGTTCCAGACTTAAAAATTTTAATTTCATTAGTCGAATCTAAAATTAGTGCTTCACCGGAACCGAAATTTTGACCGGAACCGGATCCAATTAGAGTTCCTGTGCCGGAAACGGAGCCTAACAACGGCGGAACTTTCAGAAACGGAAACGGAATTTCCAGCGAAACTCTACTAAATATAATAATCTCAACGAGAGTAAAGCGAATTTTGGCTATATCGAGATGTTCGTTAAAACGAGAGTCATTTTTCAATAATCTCAGTGATGTTACATGATATAAATTAATTTAAAACGCCTAAAACTTACAGTACTCTCAAATAGAGGTTCAAAAGTTGGATCCTTCGAAGGCTTTCCTTGAACCTTCCACTCAGTATCTATACTATCTCCATTTTCCCAATCAACAATAAATCCAAGAAGATCTTTAATATTCATCTCCCCTTTTTCAATTCCAGGTATATCAAAATACTTTTCCTCTATGAGAACTTGTCCTTCCCCTTTATCTAAAAAATAGGAATTATTAAATTATTAATATCTTCATTTATCGAGAAACATACATTCCAACTTTAAAATATGTAACTTCTCGAGAATGTCCTCAAGATTATAGACTGAGTTTTTAAGCAAACCAGGAAACACATCTTCTAAAATTTTGACAGAACCTTCATCATCTAAATTAAGGTTAGAAACTATGTAAGATCCAGCAGGATAAAATTTAATATTAAGGTGAAAGTAGCTGCCCGATATCTCAGTAGGTGGGAGTCCTCAGTTGATAAAGCAGAGCGCTTAACTATAACTGCTAGGTGGTCGAGTATCGGTGAGTCAGGGACTTATGTGAGCTTAGCAGGCTGCGAGCAGGCCAACTGCGTTCGAAATTAGTGAATACGTGATGCAATGGATGGTTGATTTAGATTGTCAAGAGCATAAAACAATATATGCTCCCGTTAGCTTCCGATACCTTGGGATGTACCCATCTTATCTCTTACATAAAATTTTTTCTGTAAATTAAGAGATAACGTAAGCTTAATATTTGTAAATTACATCGAATTTCTTTCACTTCTCGATTCCCATTGTCTCCTAGATGCTTTCCACTTTTAGGACTTCCTGTCCCTTTATCTTCAAGATGCTGTCCAGTTGTTCCTTTAGAACCTCCTGCAACTCCAGCTTTATGTCGCTTTTCGTGTTCATGATTTCTTACATCTTCTTCTCCATGTCGCCTTTCTCTATTCGGGCTTCCTGCCCTTCGCATTCCAATGCATATTCAATGCAAATCAAAGACAAAATCAAAAAGAAAATCATTCTTTTTTTGAAGAATGAATTTAATAGTTTTAAGAAAATCATCTGGAAAATTTGTCAAATATTTTAGAAAATAAATTTAAAAATTAGGAGTGAATATGGAATTAAAAATTAAAAAAATTAATTTAAACTGGTATTTGCCGGGGATTCAACGCTTATTTATACAGCCCCAAAGTCTTGGCAAACATGCCCATCGAGGCGGAGCAAGCCCTGACATGCGCGTAAGCCTCCTAATTAAGACAACTTCCCAGGTTGTCCAAAGCTTTAAGACTATAGGCTAGACATAATTTTGGCCGAGAAATTCGACGAGGGCAAGCAAGAGAAGCCACTGATTCCCATGACTGCCACTTAACTCAAGTGGCATGACTCGGCGGCAAATTCAATCATAAAGGCCCTATCTAAGACGACTGAATAATTTTTGCTTAATTTGTCAAGCAAGTGCATTTTTCTACACAAAAAAATCATTTACATATACTTTTTTGTACGATCATATATGTATGATTATGTATGTTTGATTTTTGATTTTTGGTGTTGCTTTCTCCCTTCCTTGCTTTACTTTCATAATCGAGACCAGACTGGACATGGAGATATGGATACAATAATACTAAAATGACTGCGGATATCCGCCTGTATCCGCCGTAAAATCCTGATACGGATACCAAAATTTGTATCCGGACCAGGTCTGAACGAGACTGAAATGAAAAACCCTGGTTTTTAGACGTTAATTCACTAGTTAAATTTTGAATTCATTAAGACTGACAAAGTTTCTCTCCTATCTTAATAAAATTTAAAGAAATCTCTTGCGTTGGGGAGTTTTAAGTTTCAATGCAGAATAATAATTTCTTAAATTATATTCAATATAGCAATAGAAATTAAATTATTTTTAAAAATTTAATCTAAATCCATGAACTTAGTACCCTTAATGACTGGTTCGGGTTGGCACTAGCTTATAGAACTATGAATTCAAACCCTCCCTTATTGTCTTTAACGAATTAAATTTTAAAAAATTAAAAACTATTTGATTAAATTTGATAAAATAAGACAAGTTTTTTTGACAGATTTATGCAATGAAAATATAAAAGATAACCGAATATAAAAAATAATGCCGAAATTTTACATTGTTTTAAATTTTAAATGATCTCATAAAGTAATCATAAATCTCACGCTTCATTAGACAAAGGTACTGGATATCCTAATCCAAAAAGTCAGGATATC